TGAATTCAGGGCCCAGTTGCTGTGAAAATTTTGTTTCAGACACTCTTCTCTTGAAAAATGAGGTGGGATCCCAAATTAAACTATACATCAGGATCAGCACAGATTCAACTCTTGATAACCCATGTTCTCTTGAATGGGATTTACTTTTCTACATCCCAATAATGCAAGATAATAAAGGAAACAGATGATACATTCTTCCTTTTGTTGTGTATGGATGAAGTCTTTGGATGGAGGTTTCACTTTCCCTGAGCAGCACTCTCACAGAAGAGGGACATGAACTCCAAACATTCAGAGTGGGACCCCATTATGTCATCTTCAATTTTAGCGGAAAAGCACTCAAGGCAAGTTCCTCATATTTGCTTGTTATAAAAGGGATTTGACTGTGCTGTTTCAGTGGCCAGACAGAGATGGAGTCAATATTTGTGTCCTAAGCTGCATGTAGAAGAATTATAGGGAAAGGCTAAGAGGATATATATTTATTAGAGTGACTTCTAATTCAGAAACAGAATTATGCACCTCTTCTATAGACGTATGGCCACATAAAAAGCCAGTCATTAAAATTCCACCCTAGCTCATTGTGGTTTGATGTAGTGGGAGTTTTTATGTAGTGAGAGTCTATTTGTGATTTCAAGAGAGATTCAAAATGAAATCTCCACATAAAACCTTTTGCTACACAGAACAGAGAAGGACTGTAATCACCTGTCACCTGTCTCCGCCATGCAATCACATCAGCAAGGATTATATGGTTTTGTGTGAGTTTTGTAAGGCTCTGTATTATCTCACCCTTTGTTGGACTCTTGGTAGTGTTTTACTAGGGAATAATTAACATAAATGCAGAGGCACAAAAATAAATACACACTTTTAGTCTCTGACTTTAGAGGTATTTAAACATTTTCCTGATATAAATAGAATCCATTCCTCATCATATATGAATTATTTCTGAATCTGGACAGAGAATGAGGCTAATTTCATTGGGTAACTTGTGCTTTTGAGGATGGATCATCTCTGTTCTTGGTAGCTATGACATATACCTTAATACCTAAAGCTGTTTTATGAGAGCAGCTTAGGTTCAGTTGCAGCACTATTGCTCCCTTTTCCCTCATCCTTCGTCAAATGGCCACTGTGTCTGTATAACTGACTTCCATTCCCTTTCTTTATTTAATTTTATTTGAGTTCTCAATAATCCAATGACAGCAGGCCTTGTACTTATCTTCATATGTATATGTTAACTCCCAATAATAACTTTCCCAACCATTCAGTCTACATATCCTGAGATAGGGGACACTTATCAGGAAATTGGGAGATTTTTTTGATGAGCAATGAATGAACAACTATAAGGGAATACTGAAAAGAACCATTTGCATAGGAGACTGGAAAGACCAATGGGCAGCTGCTGGGTTATGAGAGTCTAGCCCTAGCAGCCTAATCTACTGTGAAGTTTGGTGCAGGTAATATGAAATACACCCAGAACACAAGATCATCAGTGAGAATGATGAGTCACTGTCAGAGAGGTGTGAGAGCTACACAGCACTGTTTGACAGGAACTTACAAACATTGGTGATGGAGGAAGGTCATTGGCTAATAAAGAAACTGGCTTGGCCCATTTTATTGGTTAGAACATAGGTGGGTGGAGTAAACAGAATAGAATTCTGGGAGGAAGAGGAAGTGAGGTCAGACTCTGCTCTGCTTCCGGAGAGACTCGACAGCTCTGCTCTCTGGAGCAGAGACGCCAGGCTCCGCTCTCCCAGGCAGCTCTGACCCAGGATGGACATAGGCTAGAATCTTCCCAGTAAGCGCACCTTGGGGTGCTTACACACATTATTAGAAATGTGCTAAATTAATATGTGAGAATTAGCCTTGAAGAGGCTAGATAGAAATGGGCCAAGCATTCTTTAAATGAATACAGTTTGTGTGTTGTTATTCCGGGCATAAGCTAGCAGGCGGCCGGGGTGATGGGGACGCAGCCCCGCTGCTCTTATTTCAACACACTGGGAACTTGTCAGGGACATCTGGTTCTCCAATTGATCAACATAAACCTCAAAATGGCAGAATTTTCGCTGCAAAAGAGAAGAGCAGGCTAATTAGTGCTGATTCACACTAAGAGGATAAGGCTATTGATCTGTCATAAGGTATATGTGTACATCGTAGGCTCAGAGGATTTATATCTCCTTGTCAAAATGGCCCTTTAAGGAGTAGCTCATTACTCATGTATAAAGGTCATGACATGGGGACTGATTCAGTAAACTGTACCTCCTCATCATTACTGACGTGGAACAGCTATGATGAATATGGGGCTGGATACACAGAAAGTCTTGAAGACTACCTGGCAGAGAATGGCAGCATGATGAAGAATTGAAGTGATATACAGAACCACTCTAGCCCAAGAACACTTATTTTACAGGAAATCTTTGCATTGATTGCAATAGAGAAGCACTGAAGGGCTACCTTCCATTCAGGGTGTTCTGAATAGGTGTGCAGTTTGTGATTGTAAAGAACTTTTCTCATAAAGGGAACCTGAGGCTCTCTAGACCTATCCAAGATAAATATAACCAAAGCATTAGGGATATTCTCTGAGTACCTAATTTACACTTTGACCCAGAAAGCAACTCAGAATTTTAATGTACATGTATATCAGGCCCCTATGCGATATATGCTATATATCCTCATATGCATTCACAAATAACCATGTTCTCTTCACACATACAAATACATTCACTACTTGAAACACCACTGTGTCACATATGAACCTTTACAAATATTTCCTATGATGATTAAAAACACCCCAATAACCCAGGGTACATATATGCATGGGCACACATGCACACAAACACACACACACCTTTAATGTATTCACAGAGCTGAACATTTGTAGGCATGATCTGACATGTACTTTCACAAACTAAAATTATTGTAAGCCCTCCTGGGTTTATAATAGGTCTAGGATATACACCATGTCCATACCTTAAACGTCTCCCTTAAGTAACAGGAGGCAATGTTAAACTTGGACTTCAAACATATGCTTTCGGCTAGGTTCACATGGAAGAGATATTTTGTTCCAGCTGCTTCACGCTACAGAGAGAAAAGATGATTCACTTTAAACACTGGACTGACCTTCACATGCAGGTCTTTCACATCACAGTGTCAGGGGTTTGGTGAGGATTCATGAATGCCTGCATTTAAGACCTGCCAAGAATATCATCCACATACCACTGAAAGAGGGGTGACTGTAACTAACTCTTATATTTTCTTCTGAGCAAGCCTCAAAAGTGTATAATATTGCAAATAAATGAGATAGGACAGAGAATGTAGAACTTTCTAAGTGATGTTTTCGGTTTATAGGACAATTATAACTTTTGCAGCACAGAGGTCAGGAAGGAACAATCCTGGTACAGTAAGTGAAGTAGTGATGTTCTGACTAAAGTATACCTGGATCACATTCAAAACAAATGACCATTTCCTACCTTTGATCCAGGTCCATCCCTATGCAGACAGGGGACAAGCGATGCTTGCCTAAAAGAATGTTTCAATAACTAAAATAATGATCCTCTATTGTCAACAACTTCAGTGTGACTGTTAATAGTAATATCTTTTACTGTGAAACTCTCCAATGTGTCTTACATTTTTAATTAAAGAAATTTAGCTCTTTTTTTCTACAGAGAATCTCAGACACAATTTGGCAGAACTGTGCAGAAGTAAAGGTGATAGCAGATGAGGATTTTAGAACTCTATGAACACAGGTGAATCTCATGCTTCCTATAGAATTAGGTTTCAATCAACTGAAATGAGACTTAAATCCCTAAAGGTGTGAACTCTAAGATTCTCTTGTAGTTTACGGACAGTCACAAAATATCTGAATGAAGGAACTCTTGTAGCAATTTGTTTTTATATATTGTTCAGAATTACAGAGATGCTAGTCAGTCATGGTAAGAAAAGTCTGCAAGAACCATGGAGCTAACAAGTAGTAGGCAACAGAAAATAGGGCATAGAAGAAGGGGTCAAAGAATACATGGTGAGAAAACCATGTCTCCACTGACCACTCATTGATACTTGTTAATGACAGCATGTTTAAGAATAATCTATTGACTAGGACAGAGCAATCTCCTCATGATCCAATCAACTCTGGAAAAGTACACACACCAACATACAGGATGATTTTCTTAATAATCACTTATCTATTTCTCAGATAAAATATTTAATATATAAATGACCCATTAGACCTAACCTACCTTTACCTGGAGAATTAGAGTTGCAACAGAATAAGGTAGATGGATGGAGACCGGGATATAAGTGGTATCTAGATGTTTGGTGTGAAAGACACAAAGAATGCATAAAAAGTTATTTTTTTAAAAGGTGGAATTAAAAATTCTGCAAAAATTACACTAAAATGTTTGCTACATATGCATGACCTTGAGAGAACAAAGATGCTGATGTCAACCCAGTAAAATGTAATATTGAAGAGTAGTGATGGATTGATAGAAAGTCTCTGGGCTACAGATTTGACTGCTCTTAATAATCCGCATAGACAGATTGATAATTAAATAAAAGACATAAAATCAACCATGTATGGAATGGAGTTTTGATAATGATTTTGTCCATTCTATGATCATTTAATTATATATATCCAAGGTTCTTGGATATTGATGGCAGAACTCTGATTTGTAGACTATTTTAGGATGTGCCTGAGAAATTTAGTAAGGAACACACATGCCCCTACCTGCAGCATGTCTCCAAGGTTTAAAACAGCCTAATAGAGGCTATTGGACTTGGGGAAACTCAATCTATAAGAGCTTCCTTCCAGAAAACAGCAAATCTTAGAACAAGGCTTGATATGATACAGTGTCCTATGGATACTGCTGTTATGTCCACCTCAGGTCACTGGTGGCAAATCACATTGAAGTACATTCAGGAGTTGAGCAGCAGGAAGAAATCAATGCTGGACTAAGGAGATATATATGGCCCTCTAAGTTACAAATTCAGGCTCTTTCACTTCAAGGTCACATACCTGGAATTTTGTATCTTTCACTTCCACAACAACATACTGATACAAGTCATCGCTGTTTTCATTGTACTTGTTGACGGCATATTCCAGTGCCTCTGGGGTCCCAATCTCCTGTACACTGAATTTTTCTGTGTCATTCTGCAGAGTGTGAGCCAACATAGGGCTCAGGATCAGGTTCAGAGCCACCATGAGAGTGGTCAGCATGAGTAGTGGAGCATGGAGTAGACCGGCCATGATTTTCGTAGACTTGGAATTATATCCAAGCTTGATTTCTTGCTGATGTGAGCCTGAACCAGGCAGTGAGTACAGCCTGGAAGTGATCTTCCCTTTTATAGGGAACTCTTTTCCTTCCTAGGCTCCTTGCCAGTACCCAATGCTCTTTCTAACTTACCCCACCTTTTCCTGTTCATCTCCCCTATATTTTAGCTGTTTACATACTGCCTCAACTGTAGCTCAGATCCGGGTCTACTCTTCAGTTCCTTTCTGGACCACAGCAGTAGCAGGTTCCCCAACTTTTCATCACCTATGTATTACCTCAGTTCTCAATCTCTCACAACTCCAGTCTATCATTACTACCAGCTTTCACTAAAGATACTATCCATCAGCTTCAGTGCTCTCCTAAGTTAGTCATTCTGTGTACTCAGGGTATTACTGGTCTCTAGCCTACAAAGATCTCTGAATTTCTAGATAAAATCTTAGGGTTCCTGTAGATTCTACTCTTTGTTTTCCTATAAGTGCAGATTCATCTGGATTCACAATTCAGTATTACCCATGAAAAGACAGCATTTCAGGGAATTCAGGGACATTCAGTCCTGCCTTTTTCAGGGGAACCTTCCCTTGGGAAAATTTCTGATATATCCTTCAGTGTGGCCAGTATAGTTTGTTTTCTTCCCATGGATCATTAGCAACAGTTACTACACTCAGTAAAGGAAGTGATTTTGAAAGTTCTTTGCTGGCTTATTCTTTGCTTGCTCAGGTAGCATTTTAAAAAGAGAACTCTGGACACTCTGTTCAATTATTATTGTATAGTTCACCTGGGATGAATCATACATGGAAAAGGCAACAGAAATGTAGAGATGGCCCAGTGATTATGAGCACTTGATGATTTTCCCAAGAATTGAGTTCAGGTGCTGGTATCCAAATCAAGCAACTGACTAACTTTGAAGTACCAGCAAGTAGAAACCAATGCTTCTGGCCTTGGTTGTCAGAATCCATTAGTTATCTGTATACATCTTGAACATTTAACCTATACTGGAGTAGAGAAGGGCTGTGATCATCCTGTCTTCTCTTTCTTCCATAAAGCCACAAAAGCCCAGCATATATATGTATCGGTCATGCTAAACTCTGTATTTTTGTCATTCATTGTTGGAATTTAGTTGTTGTTTTACTAATGAGTAACAAATATATATGAACATTCACAAAGCAGGCACACATTATCAGTCTCTGCTTCTTACAAGTTCTTAAAGTTTACCTGATAGAAATAGAATTCAGGACTCATCACAAATGAACCACATGGGAATCTTAGGAGAGATAAATCTCATATCCATTAGTTGACTCATTTCAACCTCAAAGACAGACATTATCTCAGAGTAAAGGGTTAGGAAAAATATTCCAATCAAATGTACCTAAAAACATATGAGTGTAGCTATCCTAAAATTTAACAAAATAGACTTCAAGCTAAAATCAATCAAAAGAGACAAAAAAGGACATTTCATATAAGCCACAGGAACAATCCATCAAGAGGAAATATCAATCCAGAACATCTATGCCCCAAATTCAAGGGCACCCTCCTATGTAAAAGAAATATTTCTAAAGCTTAAATCTTACATTAAATCCCACATACTACTAGTAGGAGACTTAAATACTACCCTCCCACCACTGGACAGGTCACTCAGACAAAATAATGAACAGAAAAATAAGAGAACTAACAGATGTTATGACTCAAAGGGATCTAACAGACATCTATAAAATAATTCATCCAAACAGAAAAGAATATACTTTCTTCTCAGCAACTCATGGAACCTTCTCAAAAATTGACCACATACTCAGTAACAAAACAAACTTCAAAAAAAATACAGAAAAAAATTGGAATAACCAAATGTATCTTATCAGGTCACCATGGTTTGAAACTAGAGGTCAACAGTAATACTAATTCCAGAAAACCCAAAGACACATGGAAATTAAAAAATTGCTCACCTGAATTATCAATGGGTCAAAGAAGAAATAAAGGGAAAAATTGAAAAAAATCCTAAAATTTAATGAATATGACCACACAACATACCCAAATTTATGAGACAGAATGAAAGCAGTGTTAAGAGTAAAGTTCATACCACTAAATGCATACATAAATAGGCTGGAAAAATCCCACACTAGTAGATTAATAGAACATTTTAAAACTTTAGAACAAAAGGAAGCAAACTCACTTAAGAGAACTAGATGGCAGGAAATAATCAAGTTGAGAGCTGAAATCAACAAAATACAAAGAATCAATGAGACAAAGAGTTGGTTCTTTGAGAAAATCAACAAAATAGACAAAGCCTTATCCAAACTAACCAAAAGGCAGAGAGAGAATACCCAAATTTAAAAAATCAGGAATGAAAAGGGGGACATAACAACAGACACGGAGGAAATACACAGAATCATCAGGTCATATTTCAAAAGCTGTACACCACAAAATTGGAAAACTTACAGGTTACGGACAAGTTTCTGGATAAATATCACTTACCAAAATTAAATCAAGACCAGATAAGCAAATTAAACAGACCTATAACTGCTGAAGAAACAGAAACAGCCATCACAACTCTCCAAACCAAAAAAAAAAAAAAAAATCCCAGGACCAGATGGTTTCAGCTCAGAATTCTACAAAATTTTCAAAGAACTAATACCAATACTCCTCTAATTATTTCACACAATAGAAACAAAAGGGATACTGCCAAACTCGTTTTATGAGGTTACAATTTCCTTGATAACCAAACCACAGAAAGACATTACTAAGAGAATTACAGACCAATCCTACTCATGAACAATGATGCAAAAATTAAATAAAATACTGGCAAATAGAATCCAAAACACAGCAGAACCATCATCTACCATGATCAAGTTGGCTTCATTCCACAGATGCAGGGATGGTTCAACATATGAAAATCTGTCAACATATTCCACCATATAAATGAACCTAAAAATAAAAACAACATGATCATCTCCTTGGATGCCCAAAAAGGGTTTGACAAAATAAACATCCCTTCATAATAAAGGTCTTAGAGAGAGCAGGGATACAAAAAACATACCAAGACATAATACAGCAATATACAGCAGCCAACAGCCAACATCAAACTAAATGGAGAGAAACTCCCAGCTATTCTACTAAAATAAGGAACAAAACAAGGTTGTCCACTCTCTCCATTTCTATTCCATATAGTTCTTAAGGTCCTAGCTAGAGCAATAAGACACCAAAAAGAGATCAAGTGGATATAAATCGGGAAAGAAGAAGTCAAACTCTCAATCTCTACTGATGACATGATAGTTTAAATAAGCGATCCCAAAAATTCTACCAAGGAATTTCTATGACTCATAAACACTTTTAGTAAATGTATCAGGATACAAGATTAACTAAAAAAAACTTCAGTTGCCCTCCTGTACACAGATGATAAAGGGGCTGAGAAATAAATCAGAGAAACAACACCCTTCACAATAGCCACAAAGAGCATAAAATATCTCAGAGTATCTCTAACCAAACAAGTGGAAGACTTGTATGACAAGAACTTCAAATCTTTGAAGAAAGACATCAGAAAGTGGAAAGATCTCCCATGATCTTGGGTAGGCAGAATTTACATAGTAAAAATGGCAATCTTACCAAAAGCAATCTACAGATTTAAGGCAATGCCCATCAAAATCCCAGCAAAATTGTTCTCAGACCTCGAAAGAACAGTACACAACTTCATGTAAAAAAGTGGTCCCAACTCAGTCTTACCTACTTTATCTGACAAGTCTGCATGGGTCCCTGATAATGAGAACAGCTGCCTGATCTTCCCTCCCTGTCTGCCTAGCTCAGTCCAGCTCTGGGTCCCAGTTTGAGTAGGGGAATGAGCAGAGATACTTCATTCCTTAACTTCCCTTTTCCACATCTACTCTTCAACTCTTGTCATTTCTGAGGCTGGAGGGTTTGGGCAGGACCCATCCATTCTAATTCCACATCTTGGTGTAAGCAAGTTCCAGCTAAGGGATTGGGAAGCTTTTGCGGGGAGACAGGCTGGATAAAAGGGTAGAGCTGCATATAAAGTCTACTTTTTCTTGGGGGAAGTAGGAACTCTTAAGCTTTCCACCCCCAATTTCTACCTCCATAGACTGGCCAGAATTTAGCTTCAGTGAGATCTGGAATGGTCAACTTGACACCACACATAATATATCAGCCAATAAATTATTTTCTCTCAAAAAAAAGTGGTCTCCAGTGATAAATATGTTTCAGTTGTTTAAGAAATCAGAATACAGGGGTTAGTGTCATCAGATTCAGATCTTAGAATGTAAATATTCCGTTTGTAGGAGGGGTCATCTTCTGTGATTTGTTCTAAGTGAGCTACTGTTGAAACAAACAACCTCATGAAATAAACACTTTTAAAATGTTTGCAAAAAAAAAAAGTCTCCTGTGCCAATGTGTTCAAGTGTGCTTTCCACTTTCTTATCTATAAGTTTCAGTGTGGCTGGCTTTTGTTGAGGTCTTTGATTCATTTGGACATGATTTTTGTGCATGGTGATATGGGCCTATTTTCATTCTTCTACATGTTGATATCCAGTTATGCCAGCACCATTTGTTAAATATGCTTTCTTTTTTCCAATTGTTTTTTTTGTTTGCTTCTTTGTCAAAATCAGGTGTTTGAGGGTATGTGGATTAATATCCGGGTCTAAAAAAACCAGCATATAAACCATAATCCCAGAGAACTTAGACAACAATGAGGACACCAAAAGAGACGTACATAGATCTCATCTTCAGGGAAAGTAGAAAAGGAAGAGATATCCTGAGTAAATTAGGAACGTGGAGACCTTGAGTGTGGGTTGAATGGGGGGAGGGGAGAGGCAGAGAGGGGATCAAGAAAGATGAAGAGAAAAAATTTAAAAAAGAACTTATAAGAAGCAGAGAATGAGAGTGTGTGTTTGTTTGTGTGCATGTGCATATATATTTGTTACTCCTTAGTAAAACACCAACTAGAATTCAACAAAGTTTGAGGTAATCCAGAGAC